CCTTCATAGGCACGACTGCGCGTACGGATGCGAATAGCGCGATGCGATTTTCGGGGAGAAGTTACCACACCCTGTTGTCTGTGCATGTAGTGATATAGAATAATTCTTCATTTTTTCCAGGTTGTTGGGCTACTATGGTAGATACAGCGACGCATGACTAATTATCAAAAGGGAAACTAGGTATGTGGCGTCTCTTACTACGATCACATACCAGTTTTCATTTGCTACATATATGAATGCATGGTAACAGTGGTAGGAGGCGCCATAGATCAAGTTTCCCTCTTGATAAAAAGTCGTGAATAGCTGTATCTGCCATTTAGCAGCAGCCCGACAACCGGACAAATGAAAAATCATTCAATATCACTACTCATGCATAGACATCATATAGACCGGATTGGTATGACGGGAAAGGGTTTGTGCTATAGGCTAAAATATGACTAAGTATAAGAATGACTGCACAAAGAAAAAGAAACTTCTAGAAACAGTAGGATAGGTTCGCATTAGTGATCGTCTCGCATTAGTGATCGTCAGGGTAAATTCCTACAAATACGAGGGTGTCCAGCAAAGTTCCTGAGCCACAGGGTTGAATGGGGTCGAAAGGACTACATTATCACTAGGAAATGCTTCCATGCTGCTATTATGAGTGATGATGGTAAGAACTAATCAATGAGGTTCGCTAAATCAGCACAAAAAGCTGTGAAAATCAAATGGCAATTCCAGTTTCGCTTTTGATGCGTCGTTCTGCTCTTGATTAATAGATCACTNGCAGGGGTAATCGAAGAACCGTGTTCAAATTGATTACAGACCGGGTGAGTAGTTCGAATACTTTTCACAGTGTTGATTCTTATTGTCACTATGGGTAATTCTGTCGGCGATACTCTCTTCCTATTTTTGAAGAATTTTTGATCGCTCTGTGATCGATGTATAAGTTGATATCAGGCATACACATCTGCTGACTGTTTTTCGTCCTGTTAAAAATCCAATGCGCAATTTTCTATGACTAAATTCGTGCAAAATTCGTAACGTATATGTCCATGACAGATACGCACCTCAAGTATTTCGAGTTTGGAGTTTAGTTCCCAGTATTGAAACCTAAGCGGGATTCCGAGTGAAGCATTTCGTGAAAGCATGAAAAGTGTTCCTATGTTTTTTCTGGGTAAGACCGTAGATAAACAGTTGTGGACATGTGATGGTTACCTGTAGCCCAATTGGTAATTGAAAAAATGTACTGCTCCGAAGGGTGAGCCGATATTAGGATCTGTAACCTTTGCTGAATTTTTTTTTGTCGTCCAACCCACCGTTCCCCGTCATCACTTTTGTTTTCCAACCCCTTCAACATACTTTCAACCATTGCAAAGACAGCTTTTGAGGTGCCTTTTAAGTTTCCAATTAGCCTGTTCAGGATGTTTCCATCTGTCGAAACCGACTTTGGCCTCAGTATGCTGAGGTATGCTTCGGCCAACGACTCTTTGGTGGTGTCGCCGATTTCCGTGTTCTTCACTTTGGCCATGGTTCAAGCGGGTTCGAAGGGAACTACGAGGTCCCAAATTAATTCCGTCATCTCAAAAGGTAAGGAGCCCAGTCCGACCTCTCCATGCTTTGATGATATGTGTGTCATCAAAAGTTTCCAGGAGCGTCAGATAACGAAGTGGAAGAGTATTACTCAAAGCTTTTTCATCAAATTATGAACCCAACAAATGGCGTGAAGAGCAGGATAGCCAATGGATTTTTCCTGAAGTATGTAGTATTACCTTGGAAACTCATTATCAATCACTCGTATTTTATATTTCCAGTAAGCAGTTCAAAGTGGAGAACGACTATGAGCAAACCATCAAAAAGAGATACGAAGCAAAAGTTGAAGCCTTGGATTTTGGGAGAGCAAAAGAAACTGCTAAGGTGATTTCCAGCATCTTTCAGACCACTCTAACACTACTTCAGAAGATTGAGAGCGTCGGAGCTCTTTCAGGTCATTGATGATTTTATAGCCAACACGACTGAGGGGAAGATTCGCGACATGGTAAATGAAAACTCAGTTCAAGGTACTTTATGCTGGTTTTTCGAGGACTCAAATGATGAAGAAAAGTCATTGGGATTCTTGACTTGATTCCTTTCGGTGACGGTCTGATTGTGCTTCTGATAACCGTCTGGTTAACTTGAAGAAGTTTAACTCTCTTTCGCAGGTGCATTCTCCTTGATTGTCAATGCCATCTATTTTACTGCTGAATGGAAGTCCAAATTCAACAAGAACGCAAATTCGAACGGCACATTTTACAGCTCTGCAGGGAACGAACGAAAGGTTGGCCTCTGGTATCTTAGATATACTGCATATCCCTTTGTCTTTTTGCACTAGGACTTCTTATAGAATGATAGGACGCCTACCAAATTTCAACCCTCTAGGTCCACTGGGACAGGTGTTATTGATTTGCCGTCAAAAATTTTCATAGCGCACGCCCCGCCCCCTGTGGGCGGGGTCTGATCCTGCTACTTGTCATGGGTGTTCTCATCTTGTCGCCTGTACTCCTTCCAAATGTGAACGTTCCAGGTCCACGAGAACAGGAGTTATGAATTTTCGGTCAAACACACACACCGGCACACACACAAACAAACAAACCCATCGACAAACCAACACACTTAGCGAATTATATATATTCTGTAGGATGATTAGAAGCTGACTTATTTCTTTCTCTTTCTACTCCATCGTCCAGGTTGGAAATGCAAATGAATCTTAATCTTTTTCAGGTTGAATATATGAATGTTTTTCGTACACACAGGCTTTACGCTGAAGACAACGATCTCCAAGTTCTTTCTCTTGAGTATTTGGATTCCTCGTATGCACTCAATATTATCTTGCCTAAAAGCAGGTGAGGAAACACTACATGAACTCATAAAAAAGTTCATTCCCACGCCAAATCAACTGTTTCCCATTTCTCTTTTTTTTTAATGGAACAAAGGGAGGGTAGTGCTAAATGCTTCCACAAGCAAAACGCTCTATCAAGTCTGGGAAGTCAACTATTTAGATTCTGCAAATAATTGCATAGGCCTGATGTATTTCAGTGTGGAGCTGATCGAAGCTCTAAACTTTTTGCATACCAACTGAATGACGCTATGTCTGGCATTTTTCCAGATTTGGTCTCAACGAAGTTCGATCAAAGCTCACAGGAGAGAGAATCCAAAGTCTTCTCTCAAAACTGAAATATACCTACATATCGGTACTGCTTAATGTTGAAAACTTTTATCAGATCTTCAAAGTTCCTTCAAACGTTTGAAACGTAGAGAGGAAGGAGTCAAAGAAGAGACTGCAAACAGACCTGGTGCTTTGGTAAAAGTTTTTTCACAGATTACAATCCCGAAGATGAAGATTGAGACTGACTTCAAACTGAAGGAGGCACTGATTGGCATGGGTGTTACGGAGATGTTTAGTGACAACGCTAACTTGACCGGAATCACTAAAGAACCTCCGCTCAAAGTCTCACGTGCTGCTCATAGAGCCATAATTGAGGTAGTCAGATGTTTCATCTTTGTGCTCCTCCGAGAACTCATTTGAGGACTCCTTCTCTTCACAGAAATCCTATTCAGGTTGATGAGGACGGTACGACGGCCGCGGCTGCTACAGTCTTCACATTGAGAGCAACGTCTGCTTTAATTAGGGAAGAACCCGTGAAATTCAAAGCCAATCATCCGTTTATGTTTATTCTCACCAAGGATAGCAATCCTCTGTTCATGGGTCAATTCATGTGAATACCTCGCTTTATGTGCAAAATGTGAATTGCAGTAGATGAAGCTTCACATATCAGATCGTGTTGTGTCTCCTTGCTGGCATTATTCTGTTCTTCGTCAACTGCAGCGAGCAAGGTATGGGTATGTATTCATGATAAATAGTTATGTATGTGTTTGTTTGTGGGAGTAGCACTTGGAGGATGTGTGTGGGTGATATGTGTATGTGCAAAAATTATTTATGATCACGTGAATCCTGCCACAAGAAAACAATGCGCACACATACGAATGTCTATCTCAGTGCTTGCTGGGGAGGCGTTAGTTTCCCTAACTCCCACGGCAAGCGGCTATGGTGGGCGTAGGCTACAATATCCTTTCACTGGTCATTCAGAAAATATAACGACTTACTGTAGCCAGCCGATTTTCAAGTCAGTGCTTGCTTCACCCCCCCCCCCCCCCGACCACCCTGCTCCCCCCCGCAGGGGAGGGGGGCGGTGGGCACCG